AGACATCTCCATTTCGCAATTGCAAATCCACCAGCTTCCGTCGCTGCTTCTCAGTCCAGTCAGCGAACAACAAAAACAACTCCGTCTCCGTACGCATCAAGTCTATAAATAACGAACGGTCTGACTCATCCACCATCTCAAAAACAGCCTTCTCCACACGTTCCAATTCCAAGTCATTCTGCAACTCCTCATCAGCTGTCAACTCCGGCCCATTCATCACCCCATCATTCTCAACTGACTCCTCTGGAACAACAACTGACGCCGGAATAACTGGAATGGCGGCGGCCTGCGTCTCGGTCGCAGACGCCTTCTCTTCACCCGCCTCGCCTTCCCCCGCCGCATTCTCTGGCGCGTTCTTCTCCGATCCTGGACCCCTCACCAAACTCTGGCCAGAATCCTTCAGAAAACTCGATCCCGAATCATTCAGCACACCGGATCCAGCGTCCTTCAGCAGTCCTGACGATAAAAGGTCGTCCGACGTTCGCCACTTGACTGTCTTATACAGAGCCACCGTGTTGTCTGATATCTTCAGGAGCTCGAATCCTCGCTGCGCTGCCCCCACCACGTTCGTGGGTTCCAAACATACCGCTATGTCCATCAACTTATCCTCCTCCTCCCCCATTTTGCTCCTGAGATATTCTAAAACCTACTTGCCCGCTCCCCAGCCCCCGAAGGTCCGCACGCTCCTTAAAATTCCGTGCACTGGTGTTCAGTATGCCGAGACTCCGTGCCCGCCGCTTAAACAGGTGTTACGACTCAAGCTTGTGTCTGACCAGCCTAAAGACGTGCACTGAAACGCACACGCGGTTGACCGCACACGCGCGCGGTTGACCGCACACGCGTGTTGGTGCAGCTCAGACGTGTGTGGTGGAACGCACACGCGTGTGACGGAGATTGTGGGTCGAGATAAGTCGATGTGAATAAAAACTGTAGGATGAATTTTCCTTTGATGTTGTTTGTTGCATGTTTGGCGGTCGTGGTAATGACGTTTTCTCCTGCGGGGGACGTATTGATGGGGGACGCGGAAAGCTGCGTCGACGCGGAGGACCTGGCTGCTTGTTTGCTCAGCTTGGGTCCGAGTGCGGAGTTTAGTTACATTCGGACGGGAGCGTTAATGGCAACTGGTTCTGCGCGTTGCAGTGGTGATGAGCGGCGTTTGTTGCATGCGGAATTGGAGCCATTTGCCCTTCAGTCGCCGATGGCTCAGGCGGCTAAGTTGATGCCACCGGCGCAGTTTGTTTTGACAGATTTGACAACGGAAACGAAGGCTGGACGTTGCACGCCTCTCGCCTATATACTCAGTCCGGCACAGGATTGTCAGGACGACCATAACGCTGCAATCGAACTGACAGTCACAACTGATGATGATGACCCCAACAATCGCATCTACTCTGCACCAGAACTCTCCAACGAAGTCAGCACAAGCCGACAACTCCTCATAGACGTCAACGACTGCGGAACCGTCAACTCCACCGGCTTCCTCCTCTACGAAATGATCCACTACCCCTCCAGTGATGCGCCTGACCCCGACAGCGACCACGAAACCAACCACGCACACCACACACAACTCGCTCCCGCCACGGCCCTCGCAGCTGTCCTGACTGCTACACTCCCCTTTTAAACAGACAACCGCCGAGACAAGACCACTTCGGCCTACACTACGGAGCAAGGACAACAAGAGCTACCGATAATTCAACTATGGAGCAACCGTCCTGGCTGAGGGCCGTCCCTGCCCACTCCCAGGCCTACTCCCAGGCCTCCTCCCAGGCACTCCGCGTGCACTTTATAAGGGAGACAGGTGACAAGAGTGGGGGCAGGTGACAAGAGAGTGAGGATACGGAACGGGTGCTAGCGGCGCTAGGTTAAGGGGCATCGTGTCCCAGAAGCACATAAGGTAAGCATTTTTGCATCTTTTTGGTAAGAAAGCAACCAACATCTAATGGTCAATGAATATAAGAGACTAGCTAGGGTAAGAGACTAGGTGACAGTAAGAGACTAGGTGACAGTGGATGAAGTGTCAGCTCGAGGGCTAAGGGTTCGTGGTGTGACTGGACGGTTCAGAGGGTTCCTCGAAGGGGTTGGGGGCCGCCGCAGAGCTGAGAGAACGTTGCACGTCAGTCCAGACCTCTTGGGATTCAATGAGTGGCGGTCGATGGTCCTTGTCCAGTTTTGCTCGGACGTTCGCCTTGCGAACGTCCTCCATCTCGACAGGGGTGGGGATAAGTTTTATGAAGAAGAGGGGAGTGAGAGTGAAGATGCCGCAGATGAGGATAAAAGGTACCAGCTTGCTAAAGTTGGTGGCCGTGATACCGAACAGGTATGCAGCAATGCTAGAGCTGAGCTTGCCCAGAGCCGCGCCCAAGTTGCGAACACTCATCATAACACTGTAAACACTCCCTTCTAAACCGGGCGGACAAATAAGAGCGGTAAACACCAGCAAGGGCAGGAGCTGCAATTCCGCCACTGCTTCAACCAAAAAGCCCCCGCTAAGCACAAAGACTTCATTGCTGATTCCCATCCTCTTGTTCACGCCAGAAACGAGCAACAAGGGCGAAATGTAGATCGGGAAGTTCACTAAAATAGTCCACACCATGATTGATCGGTAACTGCTGTTCCGCAGCCAGCTGTTATAGGCGACCAATCCAATCAACGCAGCCAAGCCATATGTGAACCTCAGACTGCCCATGAACGTGGGAGAGAAGCCCAACTTGCTCGTGAAGAAGTAGAAGAGCGCATCATCGTAGTCCGGCCCCATCATAAACATCACGATAAATGCAGCCGGACCCCAGACTATGGGCTGCTTAAGAAACTCCAATAAAACTCGGAGTTGGAGTCTTGGAGAAATCAGTTGCTCTTCTCCAGTTTCAGAATAACAGGCAGCCGAAACGGTGATGAGCAAAGGGAATGTTGCGGTCGCCAGAAACACCTGGCGCTTGGTGTAAACTTCCAAGAGCGCCCCCGACAAATAGGCCACTACCAGGCTGCCAATCGCCTTCGCGCCGAGTAACTCGGTAACCGACCGGTTTGCGGCTGCCTGAGCGGAGGCTTCCTCGTCCTCCGGAGACTGTAAACCAGTCGCGGCGTGAGTCGACTGGACGACTAAAGCTTCCGTCACTGCAGAACAGAAGGCGGCTCCCAGAGAAACAATCGCCAGTGCCGCAGCGACCGCAATAATCGAGTCAGACTTCATTGCCAGCAGAACATAGCCCACTGTTTCCAGAATTGAAAAGACGATCAGGTACGGCTTTCTTCGCAGCCCCAATATCGGCTGCGTATCCGAGACGAAGGCCAGCACCGGCTTCAGAAACCAAGGCAGCGCGGGCAAAATCAAGATCGCACTGGTTGCAGCCGGACTAAAACCCAGGTCGTCCTTCAAGAGGTAGTAAATTGCCAAGGCGGCCAAATGTGTTAATCCTTCCGACAAGCCCACCAAGTAAATAATGGTCGTCGCTCCCCGACTCCGGCCCTGTGGCGCGGCTTCTCCGCTGGCCGCGTGAATAAAAGGGATTTCATCGTTAGCCGCGGAACGTAAAAGACCACTTTCCTCCTCGTGAAAACTGCTAGAACCTAGCGCCAGAGGTCCCTCAACAGTCTGAGAATATAGACTGTTCCGTATGTGGCGCGCCATGTTGCCTTTGTATTTACATCACTTGGAGATCGCACACGCGTGTGCTCCGCTAAATTCCTAATTTACATGCAGCTGAATTCCGTCGCCCGGCCCAGAATCCTGTCCCGTGACCAGCGCAAAAAGGAGATAGTTACCGTACCGCACGGGATATAAGATCGGAGCTATATAAGTTGAGTTAAACAAGATCTTCGTATGTAACAGCGTGATCGGAACGCACGCGAGGTGCATTCCGGTTATCAGTCTGCGGTGGCGGCGGGCGTAGATCCAAATCCTCTCCAGAGGCGATGCGATAGTGGTTAACGAGCTCCTGACTTCTGAGCCTATAGCCGGGAGCCAAGCCGACGGATTCTGCCGATAGCAGCTTTTGTGTGCTCCTTCGTTTGAACTCCTCGACGGACGCCGACCAAAAATCTTGATGTGGAGGGCGACTAGCAGCCGAAGCCACCCGCTTCAAGTCCATGTTCATTCCCATGTTCATCCCCAAGTTCATACCCACATTCGTTCCCGTATTCGTTCCCATGTTCATTCCGTATCTCATATGGGGTGCATAGCGCTGGGTGGACCCCAGTGAGTCCCCTCGCTGGTGGAAAGGTGCGGGGACGTTGGCTGTGTCATACAACGGTGACACAGGTGCATCGTGAAATGGCAGCAGGGGCGTTCGGCCTTCGAGCTGCCCGGTTCCAATAATGGGGCGGGATAGCTCAGGTGCCTTCGCATGAGCCGTGACCGACGTGACGGCACTCAAGGCTGCTTCCTTGGGCGCGGTGGTTGGAGGCGGAGGAGGCGGAGGTGGCGGTGGAGGAACCAGAGCACCGTTCACGATCACCCCACCAACGAAACCTGGTCCAGAAAGAGCAGCGCCAAAACCGGATCGGGAAGAGTCGATTGGCTGAAGGGAACCAGACACGATGGACATCTGCTGCCGCAAATACGACCCATTCCGTTGTCCGCTCGAGGGTTGACCACCTAACTGTCCTGTCGTTCCGATCTGCATTCCAATCAGGTCTCCCTCTGGGTCGTCTCTCGCGTTCAGCACCGAGGTAGAAATGGCTTCTTGGCTCTTGCTGAGTGAGTAGCGGGGAAAGGCCTGTTTCAGGGCGATTTTATTCATCATCTCAGGCGTGTTCATGCGGGTCTCACGGCAGGAATTGATGATGTCCATCCAGTACTGCTTGAGCAGTTGTCTCTTTTCGTAGACGCCTAGCTTTAGGCGTACGAGTTCGGCAAGTTTTTTTCGCAACTCGGAGTTCTCTTGTTCCGTAATTTGCGGGGGCTCGCCAGTCCCCGGACCTGCAATGCGGTGATGTGCCGTTGCGTCTAGAGGTGGGTCCTCATCGTCTAGGTGGAGTTGTGCGTTCCATTTCGTTTCCAGCCGCAGGATCTCGTCGCACGCCAGTCTCGGCAACTTGGCGAAATATGGGTGATTTAGCAGCGGGTTCAGCACCTGGCTGTAACAGTACTGCTCGAAACCGGTGTATGGCCCCGTCTTGGCGAAAATTTCCTTCAGCCTCGCCTTCTCTTTCGGCGTCGCGCGGTTGATGCGGATCGAGGTTACCGTGCTGATGCTGCTACGCAACCTAATCGCCTCCCGCGGGTTCTGAACTATTTGCTGCACGTAGTCTAATATCACTTCCTGCGGATGACACATGTGCACCGGACAAAACTGCGGCAGCTCTCCTTCCCAGGCATTGGGCGCAGCCGAGAAGTCGGCCGGCGTCACCGCATTCGCATTTTGGCTCAGCAGACCTGGTATTTCTTTCTTTCCCTTGGACCCCCCCGACAGAGCCACAGCCGGGGGCATGCCCCCCCCTGGGGGCCCAGTGACAACCTCGGGAAGTGGGGCAGCCTGCAGCGAGGTTGTGACTGCGGGCTGTACACAAGAGCACGGACTTGTGTCCCGATAGCCTTGCCAGTGCTGCTCCCAGATCGTCCAGAGGTTGGTCGCCTCGATGTCGTCTTCAATCGAGTGTAAGAAAGAGCACTGTCTTCTGCAGCACTTAACACCTCGTCTGCATGGCTCCGTGCGGTAGATGAGAGGGTGAAACATTTTCTCCAGAGAGCTGTGTGCGAATGGGCAGAACCAGTTCTGACAGGCCAGGCCGCAAGGGCAGTCGACCGGCAGGTAGAAGTACAGGAAACAGTCTCGTCGAATGGCGCCGGAGCGAAAATAAGGCCGTTTGATCTCACTAGAAGGTTCTGACAGCTGCGTCGAAACGGGGAAGTCGGTCATGGGAGGTAGTCCTTTCTGCTGCATCTGATGACCTTCGGGCAACAACTGGATCGTAACACCAGGTTCGTAAGCAGGGTTCAGGCATTTTTGCCAGCCGTTCTGGAAATAGACACTAACATTTGTATTCCGATCCAAATAACACGACAGAAGGTCTCTACTTATCGGGTCCAGACCGGTGAATTCCGCCACTACGGATTCGGTAAGAGGTGTCTCACTCGGTTTTGACATGATGCCATCTAAATCTGGCAGTTGTGCCCACCTTCGAGGATCACCCCCAACACATTTAGATGTATCGCTAGGAAATCCATAACCATTAATCTTCGCCGATCCACTAAAAGACAATACCTCCTTCGAATCACCCATCAATAAATGTGTCGGTCACATGCATGTTTTCTGTCTCGTAGGATTTATCGGATGTGGGGCGCAAATGTCTCTCAACTCTAACGCCTCTCACAGGACAAGATCATCACAGGACAAGATCATCACAGGACAAGATCATTACAGGATAAGATCATTACAGGACAAGATCATTACAGGACAAGATCATCACAGGACCATAAAGACCGACGGAAGCAAGGCCTATGCGGTACTAGCACTCCGGGACAGTTAAGGTAAGCCACAGCTACCAAGGTAAGTGATTTTGGATTGGTCTGATTCTTAAGGTAAGATTCCATTCTAAGAGGTCTTGCCTTGGCCGGCCCCTGATTAGATTCCGGTAAGAATGTCACTGTGATAAGACACCACGTACCGGTGAGCTCCCGGGAGCGAAAGTAGTAAGGAGCTGACCTCACATGCTCGTAGGTCCTACGAGGATGTGAGGATGGGCTCCTGATTAGTGTGAGCCTTTTTGGCGATAACACGGGCGGTTGATAAGATGGGTTGGTTGGGCGGGATCTTTTTCAGCATAACAGGCTGGGGGTTGGTTAGAGTAACAGTAAAATCGTATTGTTTTGGGAGGTGGTAACTTTAGGTTGAGTTTCCATATGATTTTCACGGCAAGTAAATCTGGGAAAATGAATAAACACGATCGTTGCGAGTTCTTTGCGTTCGATGGTTCATTGCGGGTAATCCAAAGCGTCCTGGACGATCGTATTGCGTGGTGAAGGTTGTCTTGATGAAGAACGCGATGTGAATAAGGAGTAGATATCACAAATTAACCATTTGGCCCGGCATGCATATTTAATGGGCCAGTATGATGCGGCCGTGGAAGCGCGAAGCAAAAAGCCCTGAGGAGCCATATGTTGGTATGACTAGGGGGATGAAGGAGACTCTCAAGATTTGGGGTGCATGCGAGAGGGCTGAGTTGGACTTAGCATTAGAAGTGAATCGGGAGAGAGTCTCGATGGAGTTAGAGAAAGCTTCCGCACAATGCTGGTGCCGATTGGACTACCGAGTGGCCTCAATTGAAAGGCAACAAGACAAGCTGCAGCTGTATATGGAGCCCCAACTTGGGTCCGAATCTAGGACTCAACGTGGCTGCGAATTTGGGACTCAATTGGGGGCTAAAGCGGGGTTCAGCAATGGACAGGCGCTGCGTCCCTTCCCGAGAGGCACAGACGTGCACTTATACCGTGTTTCAGGCTTCCCTTCGTCCAGAAGTAAATCCTCCCGAGGTCGGTCCGGACAGGTCCCAGGACGAGTGCGATTCCAAGACTGTAAGAGCACGGCCATTTGCGGCGAAGTCATTGGAAACGATCACGCAAAAATCATCGTCCTGGTACCCAGGATGCCCATCGCGCTCGGTCAGAAATTCCACTTGCTCCTTCTTGAAGACACCCGCACCAGCCGGGTCCGGTTAGACTTTCTGGAACAAATACTGGACGGCCGTGCCTCTCTAAACCCAGTCCAAAAACTACTACTGGAAACTCCCAAAATGAAACCAGGATATCAAGATCGAACCATGTTTTTTGCCTCGCCACTGGGGCAACTGTACGCCCAAAGACTACACTCTGCTTCGGTCCCCAACGCCGCTGGGAGGAAGTCCCCCACCCTAGTGGACAAGGTCCCGGTAGAAAGCGGTCCACCAAGCAGCCGTCCCGCAGGCAATGCCTCAGGACACGGTGGTCCCCCAGACACTGATACAACATGCAGTAGTCCATTAGGCACTGGTGAAGCAAGCAGCGACCCAGCAGACCCTGGTACAATAGACAATGGTCCAGCAGACAGTAATTCAGCAAACACTGGCCTACCAGGTACTGGTCAACCAAGCAGTGGTCCAGTCGACACTGGTCACTTAAGCAGCGACCCAGCACAGGCTGGTCCAGTAGACGGTGATCCAGTAGACGGTGCTCAATCAAGCAGTGTCCCAGTAGACAGTAGTCCGCCAGGCAGTGATTTAGTAAACAGTGGACCAGCAGACACAGGCCCAGCTGCTGGTAGCCCACCCAGTAGTGGTCAACCTAGCGGCGGTCCGGCAGACGGTGGCACATCAACATGTAGTGACCCACGAAGCGGTGGTCAACCAAGCAGTGGCCCAGCAGACAGTGGTTCAGCAGACGCTGGTCCAGTAGACGGTGCTCAATCAAGCATGGGACCAGCAGACGGTGTTCCAGTAGACAGTGACCTTCCTCGTGGCCTGGCTCGGTTCAATGCGAGTCAGTTGGTGGCAGCAGAGAAAGCACTGAGGGCGGACTGGATCCACATGATAGAGGGGCCCCCGGGGACGGGGAAGACGCGTTTGTTGGCGTTCGTGATTGGTGTGTTGTCGCGTGCGGGGAACCGTGTGCTGGTGACGGCTTCGACGAACGAAGCCGTGAACAATATCTTGGCGGCGTGTGTGGAAACCGAGGGTTTGCGCAACGTTGTGCGTTGCGGTAGTGTGGCCAAATGTTGGGGCCGGGCCGTGGACTTCCAAATCGACCACCTGGTCCGCACAGTTACCTCCTGCGGTAGCAGGATACGTGAGCTTGACGACCTCATTTGGAGTTGCACCGGTGCGAAGAACTCTTCGGAGACGAGTTCTCCGGGGGCGAATTCTCTGGGGCTGAGCTCTCCGGGGGTGAGCTCAGAGGTAGGTCGCGGGGCGCGGACCAAGACCTTACGGGTGCACGAAGCGGAGCGGGAACGATTGTTGGCCGTTGGTTATGAGGAGTTGGACGGACGTGACGGTGTGGTGTTCTCGACGTGTTATGCGGCGGGTGCTAACTACCAATGGTTGCGATCGTTCGATTGGGTCATTATTGACGAGGCAGGTAAGTGCCAGTCGGTGGAGGCAGTACTGGCGGCGAGTTGTGCTGCGGATGAGGATGCTGGAGTGCGGCGGGAAGAAGGGTTGTTAAGTAGAAGAAGGGCGCGGGTGATAGTCGCTGGAGATGTGTGTCAGTTGCAGCCGGTGATCAAGTCGGTGTATGGTAAGCGGCGGAAGTACGAAGAGTCGGTGTTGGAGCGTTGTTTGCGGAATCTATCGCAGTTGAACAGCATGTTGTCGGTTCAGTACCGGTCGAATGAGAAGATCTCGTTATGGTCATCGCGGCGGTTCTACAATCGATTGCTGGTTGCCCATGAGGACAACCGATCCATCGAGGTGGCGCCTACAGTGAGTCCGTTGGTATTTGTGACGACGCAGTCGATTCCGTGCTTTGTAGAAAGCGCGCGTGACGAGGAAAGTGGAAGTATCAAGAACTACTTCGAGGCATGTCTGGCGGTACACTACATCGAACGCACACTGTTGCCATACATGACCGGCGCTAAGGCCGGTCACTGCGACCACGTACTGGTCGTGGCCCCATACAAGGCGCAGGTGGAGCTGTTGGCAAAGCTCATTGCGCTATCCGACACACCTGATTGGATAAGCGTGCGTAATCGTGTTCGTGTTGGCACCATCGACGCTTTCCAGGGCCAGGAAGCCGACGCTGTAGTCGTCAGCCTCGTCCGATCCAACCACCAGGGCCACATCGGCTTCGTAGCCGATCGCGGTCGCCTCAATGTCGCCATGACCCGGGCCAAAAGACACGTGTGTGTCATAGGCAACCGTCGCACTCTCTGCTTCGGAGAACCACTCTTCCGTAGTTTCTGCAAAGTCTTCGAGTCTCATGGACAACTCGTACCCGCAGGCCTCCTCATCGACACTGACTGGCTCGATCGCACCACCAAACTGCGCACCGTCCTCTCCGACGCCGATCTTAGGACAAGACCACTCGAACCGCGACCAGACTCCTCGCGACCGAGACCACTCTCCGGACCGGGTCTGCCCGCCGGACCCTTAGGACCACGGGACAGACAAGACGATAGTCAAGACGATAGACAAGGCGAGAGATCGCTCTCCGGTCAGTTCAACACACATCCAGGACTCTCTGCACCCGTGATGGACCCTGCGTCGAGGCTGCCTCTGCGAATACCGATATTGCAACGACGCTCCTCCTCCGATTGGACCTCGAATGACCGGAGTCCCATTGACCGGTGTCCCATGGACCAGAGTGTCACTCCCACTCTCGGTGCTTTTCAAAGCCGAATCACCTCTACCCCGACGCGGGCCCGTCGAGATTCAAAGGCAGGCTACGCACTGGATGAAAATTTATCCTCTGGATCCTCGCAACCGGCTGCGAACTATGCCGGAGGGACCGAGGACCGTCGTCTCGCACATGGGATCCTGTCAGGGGATCGGAGCCCACGCCATGCATACGCCCCGTGCTTCGAAGATCACGTGGGACCTGGCGAGGCTCGTGACTTTGAAGATGTTATAGCGTCACCGACCCGACGAACTATGTCGCCCCAGCGAGCGAATCGACTGGAACTGCGGGCATCGCAGAAAGGTGCTGGTGGTCGAAGAACTCAATTCAACCAGTCGGAGCTATTTGAAGAACGAACCAGTCGACTTGTGGACTATCGGGAGCAATCGGATCAGTGCCGACGACACGGCCAAAAACATGATCGGGACCGAAGCCAGGCCTGGGACCGAACTGAGACTTGGGGCCGAACCGACAATTGGGGCCGAACCGACAATTGGGAGCGGCTCGAAACTTGGGACCAAACCGAGAGCTGTGACCAAACCGAGAGCTGTGACCAAACCGAGAGCTGTGACCAAACCGAGAGCTGTGACCAAACCGAGAGCTGTGACCAAACAGACTGGGACCAGGCCGATCACTGCGACCAAAATCAGCATAGGAAGTCCCGCATCGACCAAAGGCGGCCGGGGTGTTTCAACGAAACGGTGGAACATATAAGTCCGTTAAACACGCAGCGTTTCTCGGCAGAACAGTCCGGACGACCGGTTTGCCGGGGCCTCGGTGATAACCCCGAGGATACGGAGTCGTTTACGATGACGGGTTACCCCGAAACTCAATATTCCTCAATAAACTACCCTCTGGTGGTGGACTACCCTCTGGTGGTGGAATATCCTCCAGTGGAATATGACCGCTCGCTAGACCGTAACTCCGTAGCACGGCGATCTACCGAACATGAGAAGGAATGCGATAAGGCATGGACCGAGTCGCGGGCGAGTGAACGTCTTTCCGACGACTTCCAACGGCGGGCGCACCGCCCAGCGTTCCGGCCTCCCTTGGCGAAAGTACGAGACGCCCGGAACCGACCGGAGGACTTGATGCGAAAGCGCGCGGACCCAAGGGGCTTGGACCCAAGGGACTTGGACCCAAGGGGCTTGGACCCAAGGGACTTGGACCCAAGGGACTTAGACCCAAGGGGCTTGGGCCCAATGGGCTTGGACCCAACGGACTTGGACCCAAGGGGCTTGGACCCAAGGGGCTTAGACCCAAGGGGCTTAGACCCAAGGGGCTTGGACCCAAGGGGCTT